AAAAAAAAAAATCAATTTTGGGAGAATTGAAAAAAAAAAAATAGAGGACAAACTAAATGATACCATAGGAAACAACCAAACAAATCCAGAAGGTGCAACATTCTGCAGCATAACTGTTCCATCTCTTCAATAATTTATTGTAATGAAAAAGCCACTACTCTATGAAAAGAAATTTCTTGGTTTGAACAGTCCACCTATAAAATGCATTTTCAGGGCAACTGAAGATATTTAAATAGAAAAGGACTAAGTATAATATGAAAATGTATTGCCGTGGAGAGGTGGAGATTATTAAATGAAAAAAGCAAGTCACAGAACAGTATGTATATTACAATTTCTCATTTTGGTTACCAGATGCACATAATGTGTATTTATGTACAATGAAAAGAGATATAGAAGGATTATACCCTAAGGTGTTAGCACTTGTTATCTTTGGAAGTAGAAATGTATATATTAATTTTATTTTTGCCTATCTTTTTTTGTGTAATTTCTTGTAGCATATATGCTAATTTTATTATAAAAGTTCATTTTATCACAAAAAGAAAAGGAGAGAGAGAGAGATTAGCATCTATGGAGTATGAGGCTCCAAAGCCAGGATGGTCTCCACGCCCATTTGATGTAGACCTCATCTCATTGCACCAGAGCTGTCAGATGCCAAGCCCCTGGGCAATTATGTGGACTGCTGAATGGTCTGCTGCAAGGACTCCCAGGGAGGAGAACCTTGACTGCACTGCCTATAGGCTGTGCTACTACTGTCTTCTATCCTTAGTGAATCAGGTATTAAGTGTGGCCTGTGAGAGTCTTTGATTTTGAATGTTCATTGAGCCTAATAGGCACTGCAGTGTTTTAATCATGTCTTGAGATCCTGGCAAGTATTTCCCCCTAGGTCCATTAGGAGTCCTCTGTTTCTCTTAGAGACAATTTTTGTAGTGTAATATGTTCATTCCCCTTTTATGCAGGCTCAGGTTTCTGGGACTTTGATCCTCACACCTTATTTTGCGTGTTACACAAGCAAATATTGTGTTTTGTTTTTGTTTTTTATTCAGAGTTGACCCCTTATTTGGGATGTGTGAAAAATTTTTGCAGGAAGTGGACTTTTTTCAGAGGTAAGCATTTCATCACCCTCTATCTTGCTAATCTTGGTTGTGCAGAGAATAGCACTTACAGAGCAACAAAGACAATCAAAAGCCAGAATCCTTGATTAGCCCGTGCAGCCAAGCTATGATCTATTAAAATGTGCCCATGTTGTGTATTTTCTTTAGTGTTATATAAATGTCTTTAAATTAGCTTAAACGTGTAACAACAGAATTATAAAAACATCAGGAATCATTTGGGTTCAGCGCTCATCTGGGCCATAAAAAGACAAGTGTTAGGTGGGAAAACTTATAAACTCTTGTTGAAAAATCACAACTTTCTGTTTACATATTTCTCTATAATGTACAAAAATAGTTCTGTTTGAAGTAAATCAGTTAAAAAGATGCAGTAGATGAATGGATGGCTTGGTAAAGAAGTGTAAGTTGAGGTAGTAAGCAGGCCTGTGGCGTGCTGGGAGTATAATACAGGGAGTAAGGCTTTTATAGGATTTTTAAGTCTTAATATTTCATTTTTCCACCCATTATCTACCTCTGTGACACCTCTGATTTGCCAGAGTTCCTCATCTGTTTAGAGCTGCATGTTACTTCTTTTCTTTAATTCTCTTTTCTTTTCACTTTAAAACATTTAGTTTATTTTTGGAACTGGGCAAAGGGTGCGGGGGAGAGTGCAGCAGAATGCGGCACTCTGGCCTCTCAGGTGGGGTGCGGCAGGCTGGCAAGTGACTACGGTCCCCCTTCCCTCTTCCCCCCACGCCCAGGAGCTTTCTCCTTGCCTGCACTTCAGAGAGGTGCCCAGGAGGTGTCTTTTACCCACCCTGTCTCCAGGTTTCCTCTCTCCTCCACCAGTGAGCTGGAGGCCCTGAAACTTTGTTTCCACAGCCCTCTTTTCATGTGCTGCTCTGGGAAGAAAGAGCGTCTGTTCGCCACAGCTGCCTCTCTCTGGCTCGCATTATTTAATTCAGACCCTGCAGTGATATCACCTCCTTAGTGAAATATTTTTTTAACCCTTTCCATAAGGCAAAAGTACTATGGACTCAGTCAGAGCTGGGAATAAGTTAACTTTTTAAAGCCTCCGTGCAACATCATTCTCTCTGAGTCTCAGTGTTACTGTCAATGACTATAAGCCCTGATAAGATAGGCATTTTCTTCTCTTTTGCTAACTGTTATGTCCCAGTATATAGAATAGTTCTTAGTCTTGGTAAGTCCCAAAGACATATTTGTTAAATTAGTTAATGAATCTGTAATATGAAAATAATAATTTTGGCAATGCAGAGGACTGCTGGAAGGATTAAATGAGATAGTAAAACACTGCAGAGTATGCCTGGCACATAGTATTCAATAAATAGGGCTGTCAGGATGATCATATCACTGAGGCATTATTATCTTGATGCCTGGCTTTCTCAGTCAGGAACCATGAGCTCCTCCAGTTCATTACTTTTCCTTCCTTGGGTCATGGCAGAATTTTGGGGTTCAGTGGGTGGTGATTGACTGCAAGTAAGTTGCTTCTGTTTGTTCCTCCAGGTGTTTTATTGCTGATTTGCCCCAACTGCAGGACAGCTTTGTGGACAAACTTCTTGACCTTATGCCCCGACTCATGACATCCAAACCTGCAGAAGTGGTCAAAATCCTACAGACCATGCTGCGGCAGAGTACCTTCCTGCACCTCCCACTTCCAGAGCAGGTCAGGAAGTGGGAGGATGTGTCACTCATAGTCCTTCAGGACAAGCCTATCCAGCCAGTCAAAACTGCTTACCTAGGTGATCTTTACCAGTGGTGGGTTAAGGCCCTTCCTCTGATTGGCTCCCATTTGTCCACCCCTTAGCTAAGGAGACAGAAAGGCAAAGATCATGTATTGCTGCCTAGGGACGACCTGGCTTTAAAATCATCCTGTTTTCTTCTTGCTTACAGATCCACAAAGCCTCGGCCACCATCATTGAGCCAGCGGGCGAGTCCGACAACCCTTTGCGGTTTACATCTGGGTTGGTGGTGGCCCTGGATATCGATGCAACCCTGGAACATGTGCACGACCCTCAGAGCACTGTAAAGGTCCAGGTCTGTCAGGTTTTGGTCCCCATGGAGCTTCTAGACTGACCTGGTAGTGAGCATTTACCTGTAGCATCCCTGTAATTTCTACTTGAGGGACAGAAACTGGAGAGGAACAAGAGATGAGTCTTTATGGAAATGAGCCTGAGCATGACTCCCATCTCCACTGCTGAGTGTGGTCTTGAGCAAGTCACTTGATATTCTGCACTTGATTCTACACTAATAAGTAGTAATAGTTGACATTGAAATGAGATGATGCATATAAAGCCCCTGGTACCCAGTTAAGGGTTCACTAAATGACAGGGCCCTTTCTGTTCATTCCTATAATGTGAAGTTAAGGCTTGGTATTTTCAGGGCTACAGGCAAATTATAATAAACAAGCTTTCTTCAGGCTGTGGATGGATCGGCTTGTTGAACAAAATTTATGGGTGGGTAAAAGCAATTACTCAGGGGGTGTTTTTCCCAAGTTGGATAGATGTGTTAGAGACACATGAGAGATGGAGTAGACACTAATCAATTTAGACAGTCTGCAAGTAAGCCCCACAGACTACTACCTATTATCCACCCATCCATCCAACCTTCCTTCCTTCCTTCCTTCCATGCAGTAATACTTACTTTATTGTACATGCTAAGTGCTAAGGTTACAAACGTCAGGATGTCAGAATTCCTGCCCTCAGGATGCTCAGTTTCAATGAGACACAGGCAAATGGACAGGCAATTATAAACCAGAAGTTCAGTCATCAGTTCAGACTGCACAGGATAAGTTAAGAATACGATGGTCTTTTATTAAATACCTGATTGCTCACCCAATATAGGCCTGACTCTGAGAGCACATCAGCACCACTGCCTCCTGAAATGAGACATAAGTGTTTAAATGAGCTGATCTATTTTCAAGACTAAGAGACTGGCTCAGTGAAATGATGGAACAATAAACCAACTCAGCTTCTGGACTGTGAAACTTCTTGGAAGTGTCAAAGGCAGGAATGAAGGAGAGCAGACTCTGCCACCCCAAAATATGCCTCTTTGGCATAAGAATTATGTTGGGGGGGGCATTATTTTTGAGACTGCAGACACAGGAGAATCTCTAAAACAGAGTTGAGGTTGCTGTTTTGTGAGGGAAATTTACATTTAGAAGGGAAACCTCCATTTCTAAGCATGTCTCTCTCTGTACCTTGAAGATGACTAAATCTCTAGAAACTCTTATCAAAGAAGGTGCCAACTTAAATTTGCCTAACAACCTTACCCTTGTTTATACTGCTTTACCTGGTAACCTTACATCACCAGTTCTGCTTCTTTTTGTTTTTAGCTGAAGATGGTATTTTAAGGTGATGGGTCGGGCCATTTTAAAGAGTTACTCAGTTTCTTTGGGTATCTCCCATGTTTCCAGGAAGTATACCTATTATTAAACATGTCGTATTTGTTTTGTGAATCTGTCTTTTATTACAGCAAGGTCTTAGACAGAAACCTAGAGGGTAGAGGGAAATTATTTTTCCTCCCTTACAGGGTGTTAAAAAAAATTCAACTAAGTAAATTTGAGATCTAAGTGGCTTTATTAAACAGTTCATGAATCAGGCAGCACCTACCAAGTAGAGAAATGCTCTTGAGGAGCTGTACAAAACGGAAAGTTTTAATAGGAGGTTGGGGAAAGAAGGTGTTAGAAAAAGAAAAAGAATGGTTTAGGCAAGACCACCCTCCCATAGGAAAGAGAGGAGGTCTTATCGTGCAGATTACCTCATCTTTTAGGGGCTGAGAAGGGCCCATGTGACAGATTACCTCATTAGTGCTGACCAAAAAATTCCTGATTTACTGTTGAAAGGTTGCATTCCTGGAATATGTTGAAATTACAATTTAGTCTTGGTTGGGAGGGACAAGTGCTCTATTTGTCCTTGTTTATTTTTTTAACAAAGGGTTATTTCCAATTTTTGGCTATTACAAAATATTCTGCAGAACGCACACATTACATGCACGCACATATAGAATCCTAGAGAAGGGCAATTAATTTGGGGGATAGAGGGTATGGTGGAAGCTAAGGAAAAGACTGTGGAGATATTAGTGCTTGCAAGAGGTCTGAAAGGATGAATAAGAGCAAAGGCTAACAGTTAAAGAAGCTATTTAGGCAGAAGGGATGTGAATAAAAGTAGGGATACAAGCACTGGTAGTCAGTATAATCAGAGTATAGAAAAATAGCCTGGAGCTGGCAGGGAAGGCTTCCTGGAAGAAGTGAGAGTGAATCAGGCCCTGAAGATGGTAGTATTTGCCTATGATGACAGTAAAGGAAAACATCTGGTTTCTCAGAAGAATTATAAATCATGAGACCTACAGAAAACTAATTCTGAGCTGGCTGTGAAGTTGTGCTGCAATTTTGTTCTCCACATTAGTGGTTCTCTGCCCCAGCTGTGTTTCAGAGATGCTCAGAAAACATGAAATAGTACTGATGATGCACAGGCTTCATCTGACACCAGTTCAGAGAGTAGGGCCCATGGATGCCAGCATTTTCTTTCAAGAGCTCCTAGGTGATACTGATGTGCAGCCTAAGAACCACTGTTTCACATTGTCCCTAGAAAAAGTTCACTGACCGACTGAACATAAATGAAATTGCAGGCAGGTTATTTAAGGGTCATCTGCTAAACTCTACTGAAAAATCACCTCTGAAGCAGCTCCACTACATGCATGGTCAAACTGGATGCCCAATAGTTGGGGAGGTGGGGAGCTCACTGCCCGGTAGGAGGACAGCTCAGATGGGAGGAAAGCACTACAAGCCCAGCAGCCAGGCCTCAAACACTTCTGTTCTGCATAGACTAAAGGAGATTATGGGGCAAGTGGGCTGAGACATGCCTCCCAGAATTGAAAGGCCGGTGTGGTTCCCCACTTTGCCTTTATCAATATATTTCCATAGATCAGGTCTGTGTGGTTCTAGGATAAGCTTCATTTGTTACTTTAGTTCCTTGCACACTGTGCAGGCCCTCTACATAGATAGCTGTGAGGTGTCCCTGGGATGCTGAGGAAAGAATTCTGTGGCATTTTGTGGGATGTAAGAACTGGTCAGTGATTTGAGCAGATCTCTTCACTGAGCACTGCTTCTGAAGAAAGAGAGAAGCAGCTTCCTAACCACTTGTAATCTAGTGGAGAGAATCCAGTTACAAAATTACTCTTAATGCCTGGTGGTTGGTGATAGATGCTGGGCCATGATATGAAATTCAGAGCCAGGGAGGAAGTCCTCTTGATAGGGGTGGCTGGAAAGGCTTTTTACTTAAGATTAATATTTTTACCTATTCTTATACGTAACAGAGGTACTTTATTCCTATTACTCCCTCACCAGGAATTCAAGAAACATTTGGCAAGCACTGCTTCGTGCTGGGGCAGCGGGGTATAGAGATGTCAGCAGTGTTGCCCCTCTCCAGGAGCACAGGAGCAGTTTTGTATGGAAGCTAGTGTCATCTTTTCTTTTCCTTCTGTTTTAGGGTTCACAGCAGATGTCGTCAGCAATTTTGTTAAAAGCTGATGGCTCTTCTGCCTCTTTTTCTCATTTCCATCACCTATTAGGTCTTATATCCAGATGGCCAGGCTCAGATGATCCACCCCAAGCCAGCAGACTTCCGGAATCCTGGCCCAGGGCGGCACCGGCTTATCACTCAGGTGTACCTCTCCCACACTGCCTGGACAGGTAAGGAGTTAGGGCTTGGATCACACCCATCCTTGGGCATTTATTTGGGTTTTTGCAGTTTGAAAAATACATGGTTGAATCAGTCCTGCTAGGTATTGTACTTGATTTCTTAAGGAGCTTGAAAGCTTAAACTGAACACATTTACACTAATTTGCTGGATTGCTTTGATTGCATGAAGCCCCTGGAAGGTATATGGGGGATCACAATAGAAGGGAGTATCATGGAGAGAGTCCTGGGCAGGGCACCGGGAGACTTCTTGTCCTGACTCTGCTGCTGACTTGCTGTGTAACTTTGGACAAGCCACTCTCCTTTCTGAATCTGTTTCCTCACCTTCAAATTGAAGGTAGTAATTCTTAATTTGCTAGTTCTGAGGATTGCTGTCTGGAAATTAAAGTTTTACATTTCTTACCAAATATAAAATCATTCTCTCTTTATATATGAACAGTTCATTCATTCTCCCAGAACAAACGAGATGAACCTGTTACTGCCCTCCCCTCCCACATGGGCTGATGTGTGGGGAATGCAAAGTAGGATGGTCTTTCCATGCTTTACCCTCCCCATACAGCAACTGAGTAGAACCTCAGGAATCTGTGAAAAGATAGGGAGACTGTGTAAGTATTTTTTTTAATTCTCAAGAATAAGATGGGAGAGTACAAGTGCAAGTGACATTATACTTCAAGCCTATAAGGCTGCTTTGGATACTTTAAAGAGACTCAGTCTGCAGAGCCTGATGTCATCAGCAATTTTGTTAAAAGCTCATGAAGTAGCAGGGAGAATTGGTTTTTCTGGTATTTCCTAAATTGCTGAAGATGATTCAGAAACATGGTTACTGGAGAAGGTGTTTAATGCTACCAAACTGGGTTTATTTTAGAAATAGGCAGATACCTTCTGGAATTTTTTTCATTGTGTCTTTAAATACAAGTATAACTATTTAATGCCAAATTATTAATGGTTACCCCCAATCATTGGATGTAAAGTTTTCACAAAGAAGTAGTACTGTTGAATGGCAGGGCAGCCCCTTTGGGGGCCTGTGATTCCTCGGGAGAAGTATGGAGGTGACCAAGAAGATGTCTGGGAGGTATTGAGAAGTCCTGGCACCTCTGCCCTTGTTTGCTTAGATCTATCCAGCCCTCATCCCTGCACTGGGAACTTCTTAGCCTTGGGATCATCCTTAATACTGCACATTTTGCTCCAGTTACATGAAATTAAGGAGGATATCCCAAGCTTACTCTATTCTTGGTCTTTGTACCTACCACCAGGTTTTTCTGAAATTCTCCCCCTTCTTTATAGAAGCCACATGGTTAACAGAAAGATTGTTTTAATTTATAAACTGGGTTCAAATTCTGTCACTGATGTGGATTTACACAGTCACTTAGACTCTCTCAGAGCTTTGAGACTTTTATGGAATTGTGACGGTCTTTCATGGTGTGGCAGGGTAAGAACTCTGGGGGTTACATGCTTGGCACAGAGCAAGGTGTCCTATTCCAGAACCTTGCTGGGCTCCCTCCTCAGTACGCTTACACACATGATTAGAGCATATCCTGCCACCACTGCAGTTGTTTCTGTCTCCTCAACCAAATGGTCAGCAACTTGAGGGAGGTCTTACTAGGGCCTGCCACATGCACACTCCAGATCAGTATCTCAGCATCAAGTTATAAAAGAACAAAAGGTTTAATGACATGACTTTAGGTCCCTAAAACATGTTCCTGTTCACTGGTGAGAATTTTTTATCAGAGCTGTTTCCTAATGAAATGCTGCTTCTCCACTATGACAAGAGTCCATGATGTATGCAACCTTGAGCCCTGTGGTCTGACATCAGCTGCACAGGAAGAAGTTGTCTGGGCATGAGAATCAGCTGTACGCATGCCTCATGTAGCTCTCTTGAGGCTTGAAGACCTCTGCAGAAGGGTTTTGACTTTGCTCTTTGATCATCTTGGCAGCCGTGGCTCTGAGCCGCAGGGAGCCCACAGAGACAAGGAGGTGGTGGAGAAGCAGCACAACTGCAGGCTCAGGCTCAGCCTCACAGGCTGGGAAAGTGTTTTTGTTTGATGAGTGGGAAGGGTTGAGGACTGATGAAGAACTATTCTTGAACCCCTACTACTTACATGTTTGCATTTTATATGTTGCTTTCGCTTGACATTTCATCCCAATTCTTATCAGTTGACCAGTCATAGAGAATTTCTTTTCCCTTTTTTTCAGAACCATGCCAGGTGGAAGTCAGGCTGCTGCTGGCCTACAACTCCAGTTCACGAATCCCAAAATCCCCCTGGATGGAGGGTAGCGAGGTGTCACCCCAGGTGGAAACCAGCATTGAGGGTACCATCCCTTTCAGCAAGTCTGTTAAAGTTTACATAATGCCCAAACCAGCAAGGCGCTGAGTCACCAGCAGTCTTCACAGTCTTGGCCTAGGAGGTCCTTTTTTGGGTATCAGAGTGAGCCAGAAGCCCAGAGCACCTCACCTGGAACTGTTGTATAGACATAAGGAGAAGCATGACCCTGAGAGTATCTTCTGGTATCAAACACAAGAGAAATTATTTTGCATTAAAAAACAAAAACACATCAAGTCTATACCACTCAAATAAAGTTGAGAAAACACCCAGCTGTTCAAGTTTCTGATCCTTAAAGAAAATTACGTGGCTATAGGTTCAACATTTGTACTACGTGGTTACATGCCTCAAGTGTGAAACACAAAGATCTGGTATTTAAGCCATCTCCAAAGAATCACCTTGTTTCTTAAAGCAGTAGTCTACTTGCCAGGGCTGATAGCTGTGCTTTTTCACCATTGCCAGTTCTTCAAATGGCCTTAGACATCCATTATCTTGATGAGAAGCTCCTTCCCTAATTCAGGCAACAGCAGGGCCAAGGACTGAATGAATAGGTGGAGAATTAATTGTTTTCATCCCTGAAATTCTTTTAACCTTTTTTTAGTTTTTTTAATAATTGATACACAGTCTTATTTTAGTTTCAAATATACAAGACAGTGGTTCAGCAGTTACCCATATTATTAAATCCTTACCCCCACTAGTACAGCTACTATCTATCAACATAGGAAGATTAGAGGATCATTGTTATGCCCATAACCAACGTACATTATGATTAAGAATTATTGTGCCCCTTAATCCCCCTCATTCTCCCTACCCACCCACCCATCCCAACTCCTCCCGATGGTAACCACCAGTCCCTTCTGTTAATGAGTCTACTGCATTTTTGTTCATTGTTTTACTGTTTTTTATTAAGGTATCATTGATATACACTTTTATGAAGGTTTCACAAGAAAAACAATGTGGTTATTACATTCACCTTTATTCAGTCCACCCCATACCCCATTACAGTCACTGTCCATCAGTGTAGTAAAATGCCACAGAGTCCCTATTTGTCTTTGAGCTACACTGTCTTCCCCGTGACCCCACACACACCATGTGCACCAATCATGATACCCTACAATCCCCTTCTCCCTCCCGCCCCACCCGCCCTTCTGCACCCTTCCCCTTTGGTAACCACTAGTCCCTTCTTGGGGTCTGTGAGTCTGCTGCTATTTTGTTCCTTCAGTTTTGCTTCGTTGTTATACTCTACAAATGAGGGAAATCATTTGGTATTTGTCTTTCTCTGCCTGACTTACTTCACTGAGCATAATACCCTCTAGCTCCATCCATGTTGTTGCAAATGGCAGGATTTGTTTCTTAATGGATGAATAGTATTCCATTGTGTATATGTACCATATCTTCTTTAGCCATTCATCCAGTGATGGATACCTAGGTTGCTTCCAGGCTATTGTAAAAGTGCTATGTGTTTTACTTTGTTTTTATACTTTACAAATAAGTGAAATCATATGGTATTTGTCTTTCTACACCTGGCTTATTTCACTGAGCACAATACCCTCTAGATCTATCCATGCTGTTGAAAATAGTAGGATTTCTTTTCTTTTTATGGCTGTCTAATATTCCATTCTGTGTATGTACCACTTCTTTATTCATTCATCTTTTGATGGACACTTAGGTTGCTTCCATATATTGGCTGTTGTAAATAAGGCAGCAGTAAACATAGGGATGCATATGTCTTCATATGGGATTTTGTTTTCTTCAGGTAAATTTCTGAAAGTAGAATTGCTGGGTCAAATGGTATTTCTATTTTTAGTTTTTTGAGGCACCTCCATCCTTCTTTCCCCAGTGGCTGCACCAATTTACATTCCCACCAACAGTGTAGGAGGGTTCCTTTTTCTTCACATCCTCACCAACACTTATTTCTTCAACACTTATTTCTTGTCTTTTAGATAGTGGCCATTCTGACAGATGTGAGGTGATAGCTCATTGTGGTTTTGATTTGCATTTCCCTGGTGATTAGTGATGTGCAGCAGCTTTTCAATGCCTGATGGCCATTTGTATTTTTTCTTTGGAGAAATATCTGTTAAGGTTCTGTGCCCTTTTTTCAGTCAGGTTATTTGTGTTTCTTTTTTTGGTGTTGAAGCATATAGACCTATTTATATATTTTGTATGTTAACTTCTTATGAGATGAATTGTTAACAAATCTATTCTGTATGGTAGGTGTGTCCATTGCCCTACAGAAGCAGATAACCAGGCTTCTTTCTGTAAGAGCATGTAACAAACAGGCTTCTCCTTATTAGATTACCCAAAAACCAGTCTTCTCTTTATGAAGTCACATAACAAACAGGTTTCTCTGTAAGAGCTCTGTAACAGCTTTCTCTGTCAGACATCACCTCACAAGACTTCTCTGTGAGAAGTCATCTAACAACAAGGCTTCCACCGATTACAGGTCACCTAACAGTCAGTCTTCCCTATAAGAGGTGACCAAACAACCATGCCTCTCTGTCAGAGATAACCTGATAATCAGGCTTCTCTCTCACATATCACCTAACAATCAGTCTTCTCTGTCAGAGGTAACCTGCCAGGCTTTGCCTCGTTAAGGATCACATAACTACCAGGGTTCTCCATATTAGAGATCACCTGACAACCAGGCTTCTCTTTGTGAGGTCAGCAACCAACCAGTCTTCACTGTCACAGAGAATGTAACAACTTACCTTCTCTGTCAGAAGTCAACTAACCACCAGGCTTGTCTTTTGAGGTCACCAAACAACCAGTCTTCTCTTTATGACGTCGCATAACAATCAGGCCTCTCTGTAAGAGCTATGTAACAAACAGGATTCTCTGTCAGACATGACATAACAAGACTTCTCTGTCAGAGATCGTCTGACAACAAGCCTTCCACTGATGGCACAACACCTAACAATCAGTGCTGAATTTAAGAGGTGACCTAACAAACGTTCTTCTCTGTCACAGATCACCTGATAACCAGGCTTCTGTAAGAGCATGCCTAACAAACAGGCTTCTCCTTATACAATCACCCAAGTGATTAGTTTGTTGTAGTCCCACTTGCTCTTTTTTTTATTTGTTTCCCTTGCCTGAGAAGTTGTGTCCAGGAAAAAAATGCTCATATTTATGTTCAAGAGATTTTTCCCTATGTTTTCTTCTAATAGTTTTAGGGTTTCATGTCTTACATTCAGGTCTTTGATCCACTTCAAATTCACTTTTGTGTATGGGGTTAGACAATGATCCAGTTTCATTCTCTTACATGTAGCTGTCCAGTCTTCACAACACCAGCTGTTGAAGAGGTTTTTTTCCCATTGTATAGACATGGCTTCTTTATTGTATATTAATGGACCATATATGTGTGGGTTTATATCAGGTCTCTCTATTATGTTCCATTGATATATGGGTCTGTTCTTGTGCCAGTACCAAATTGTTTTGATTACTGTAGCTTTGTAGTAGAGTTTTAAGTCAGGGAGCAGAATCCTCCCCACTTTGTTGTTTTTCAGCACTGCTTTGGCTATTCAGGGTCTTTTGTGGTTTACATATAAATTTTAGAACTATTTGTCCTAGTTCATTTTCAAAAAAATGCTGTTGGAATTTAGATAGGGATTGCACTGATTCTGTAAATTGCTTTAGGCAGGACGGCCATTTTGACAATATTAATTCTTCCTATCCATGAGCACATGATAGATTTCCACTTATTTGAGTCTTTTTAGGTTCTCATAGTTTTTAGAATACAGGTCTTTTACTTCCTTGATGTACTTACTTTTTGATGCAAGTGTAAATGGAATTGTTTTCCTGATTTCTCATTTTGCTAGTTCGTTGTTAGTATATAGGCATGCCACAGATTTCTGTGTATTACTTTTGTATCCTGCAACTTAGCTGAATCCAGTTATTCTAGTGGTTTTTTGGTGGAGTCTTTAGGGTTATTTATGTACAATATCATGTCATCTGCAAATACTGACAGTTTCACTTCTTCCTTACTAACTTGGACACCTTTATCTCTGTGTTGTCTGATGGTCATGGCTAGGACCATGAGTACTATGTTGAATAAAAGTGGTGAGAGTGGGCATCCTTGTCTTGTTCCTGATCTTAGAGGAAGAGCTTTCAGCTTTGACCATTAAGTATGATGTTAGCAATAGGCACATCATATATGGTCTTTGTTATGTTGAGGTACATACCTTCTGTACCCATTTTGTGGGGGGTTTTATCATGAATGGATGTTGAATTTTGCCAAATGCATTTTCATCATCTATTGAGCTGTTCATGTTGTTTGACTGTTTTTGCTAATTGATTTTTGAATATTTTACCATCTTTACATCCATGTAATACATCCCACTTGGTCATGATAGATGATCTTTTTAAGGTATTTTTAAATTTGGTTGAGAATTTTTGCATCTATGTTGATTGGGAATATTGGCCTATAATTTTCTTTCTTTGTAGTGTCTTTGCCTGGTTTTGGTATTAGAGTGATGCTGGCCTCAGAATGAATTTGGAAGTATTTTCTCCTCTGACGCTTTTTGGAATACTTTGAGGAGGATGGGTATTAGTGCTTTAAATGTTTGGTAGAATTCAGCTATGAAGCTATCTGGTTCTGGAATTTTGTTTTTTGGGAGAATTTTGATTACCAATTCAATTTCATTGCTGGTAATTGGTCTGTTCAGATTTTGTTTGTTTCTGGGTCAGTCTTCGAAGGTTGTAGTTTTCTAGGAAGTTGCCATTTCTTCTAGTTTGTCCAGTTTTATTGGTGTACAATTTTCATTGTATTCTCTAATAATTCTTTGTATTTCTGTGGTATCCTTTGTGACTATGCTTCATTTATGATTTTGTGTGCTTTCTTTTTTTCTATATCTAGCTAGAGGTTTATCTATTTTATTTACTTTCTCAAAGAACCAGCTCCTGGTTTCATTATTTTTTTCTACTGTTTTATTCTTTTCTATATTATTTGTTTCTACCCTGATGTTTATTATGTCCTTCCATCTACTAGTTTTGGGTTTCATTTGTTCTTCTTTTTCCAGTTTCTCTAATTGTGAGTTTAGACTGTTAATTTGGGATTGTTTCTCTTTCTTGAGGTAAACTTGTATGCTATGTACTTCCCTCTTACAATGGCCATAGTGGTGTTCCACTAATATTGGACTGTTGTATTTTTGTTTTCATTTGTCTCCCTGTATTGCTTGATTTCTGTTTTAATTTGGTCATTGATCCATTGTTTATTTAGAAGCATATTGTTTAGCCTCCATGTGTTTGTGGCCCTTTTTCCTTTGTTAAATTATTT